AAAAAAAAAAAAAAAAAAACTCTTTTTTATCAGAAATAATATTACCTAAACTAACTGCAATAAATACATCTGCTCGTTTGTGTTACATCCACCATTTTTCAGCACTACTTGTGCAAATCAAGGAATTGGGAAACACCGCCTTCACAAGTATTAATGAACACTGCATTACGGTTACTTGCTTCTCTAAGGGTCTCTACATGTCAACCAGTACTAGCTACTCTTGTCTGTCCACAATAGGGGTTGAATGGACTAGTACACCGGGGTAGCCCCCTACTCATCTTTAAAGTGCACATGAACCAAATTGTGTACACTAGGCTTACGGTTTGTTCGAACCAGCACCGATATTATGACTGTATGATGCAGCGCCTCTGCCTAACTGCTCAGTCATTCAACTTGCATGTATGGAGTTCTGATTACTCACACGGTGTGTGTGTGTGGGTGTGTGTGTGTGTGAGTGTGTATGGTTGAATCACATGGTGTGTGCAGGTACAGCATGGCTGACTCGCATCCATTATTATTATTTATTCTTTCTTTTGACTGAATACATTTTCAGTACAAAAGTACTGGTCTCCCAAATGGTCCAGTTATTTTTAACAATTTTGGTAATTTTGGCATGTGCTGGTACATGCTTACTCACATGGTGTGTGTATGGTTCACTCACATGGTGTCATGTATAGTTGGTTCACAAGGGGTGTGTGTGTGTGTATAGTTGACTTGCCACAAGTCTCTAATTTATTGATTTTTCGTAGTATTAGCACATTTCGGAAAGCGCCACCAACATCAGTTTATGTCGAGAAACTTTTTTGATGCGAATTAGAAAATCCAAGAAAAAGTATGTACTATGAAACGCCAAGTAAATAGGTAATATGGAATGCCATTGGTGCCAAAAATTGATTTTTTTCCCCAGCTTTTTTACTGATTATAAGACAAAGTTTAGGGACTGGAACCCAGTCTAGGTGTGTGTACATGGTTGACATGGTGTCTGCAAAAAACAAGGGCCGAAAGGTCATTGTTTGACAAAAAACAAGGGCCTAAGACAACTGAAAAGCGGAGTTTCCTTCTTTCATTCTGCCGGGTAAAATCAATTACTTTAGGTGACGTTTGTAGACTAACCTACTCGTACCAACATCCACATGTCGCGCTAGGCGTATCCTACTCTAGGCCTGGACAAGCTAGGATGGTATAGGCCTAGTCTTGAAGGGACGAAGGTCCCAATGAAAAACAACGTTGCTCCTTGATAGCTAACATTGTCTATTTAACATCACAATAATTCATTATTAGACCTACAGTTGTTTTTTGAATTGTACTCCACAAATCTCAGCCGATACCTCGCACAACTCGTTAACATCTCGTATCTATTGTCGTGACGTCATGGCTCGCTGGCTCACACTTGCGATGTCTCGCACTTGTAATCAAATAACACGCTGGCTCGCACTTTGGCAACACTCTTTGGCCGTCAACTCACCCCTAGAAAACCCGCCCTTGGAAACTTGCCCCATAAAAAAATGTACACTTCCTAGACCATGCAGTCTTCAAAATAAAAATTGTAACCTTTGGTAATCAACTACATTTTCCACATACATAAAAATTTTTGAAACTTTATGAAAAAAAAACCTAAACCATAATTCCCCACAATAGACACTTTTTAACAAAAATGAAAAATTACGACTTCACCCAATGAGAAATGTTCTAATATAGACAATGGGTAGTGTCTCATATTATTTGTTATATTTTTATTATTCATTATTTTCACTTGACTCGCATAAATAATTTTGTTCGAAGAACATTTATATGCAGTTGTACTTCGCAGCACTTCACTTGCAATTTGCAATTTCTAGTTTAAAGTATGTTTCATAGTAACTTTGTTCCTGACATTTCATGAACCTGCCACTACTGTACCTTGACTGGTCATGGATCTCAGTAAAGGTAAAAGGTTTGTTTAATTATCTTTACACAGTCAAGGGAGGTTGAGATGACAAGAATGATCCAGACCCTAATTCCACAAAGAAATACTGCACAAATTGTTTATAATTCCAAATATTTTGACAAGCATCATGAAGAATGGGCAATGCATTCTCTCCCCATGGGAGAGTGGTTCAGGCCACAAATCAACCAGCAACATGGTAGTTCTTGATTTAGTAGCAAATGATGAAGTGTGGACTGTGCCTTATTATTGTTGTAATCAGTGAAATAGATTGAAAATTACAATCGATTAGATTTTTTTAAATGTCGGGTGACACCCGACAGGATCGGGTGAGTTGACAGGTTCGGTGTAGGTATGTTACTCGCACGGTGTGTGCAGGTGTCATTACTCACATACAGTGTGTGCAGGTATGGTTCACATGGTGTTTA